TGCCTAGGAAGTGTTCAAGGCGAAATGTCAGCCCAGGTCTTCCTAATTGCCAGTCTAGTATTCTTACCACTTTGCCTTTCAATAAACACCAACTACGAAGGCAAGAGGGAAATTGAAGCCCCAGAGAAAGATACTGGGTAGCAGAGAGTACAATGAACCTAGTATAGAGAAATGTCACCATACAATGTACATTTGAATGATAACATGACTTTCCTGTTTCAGAAGATTCTATCCAATATGAAGATTTCTGTTTTATTTTCAAGGAAAGACAAAAAGATTCTACTGCTATATTTTGTGCCATCAAAGATGGATCCAAGACCTGTGCAGGTTTCTGCCCAACCTCCTTTTGCTTCTGTCAATGATTTTTTTTAAAGTATATTTTTTGGGGGAAATTTTCCTATAGCAAACACCAGTCGCTTGAGTTGTCTGGAGAAATAGGCTTCGCACAACCAGGCTCACCTGGGATTCCGATACTGATTAATTACCATTGCTAGATCAGTTGTGCAGCAAATGACACCAATCTTTAAGAGGGTAAAAAATTAATAGGTCTGCCATGTTTTGGGCTGCATTATTTTGCAAGATTTCACAAAAGGGTTGATTAATTAGTTCATTAATTTTTTTTTTAGGTTGCCAAGTAGAAACTTAATAGGAAAGGCTGATGGACACTTTAATCGACAAGTTTAATTGATGCTTTTAAAAACAAAGGAGGACCCACCCGCAAGCGATTAAGATGTTTCCCATTGTCTTCCAGGGACCAAATGGGTATTTAGAGGTGAGAATATGCCCCCTGTTCAGGAGGGGATGTTTGTGTGCTTCTTTTGTCCTTAGAGAATCCTTTCTCGATGGTTACCCATTGATGGTAAAAGTAATTGGTGCCAGTTAGTTAATGAATATTGGAAGAATAACAACTGCACATTTGATATTGGGAAGATGTTAATAGAGTGAATGACACTGAAGGGAACACATGGGGCCCATGAGTGATAATACTAGTAACCTGCCCCCCTCCCCAGCTCTTCAGGGATACTCTAAGAACCCTGAGGAGCACAGTAGCCACACTTTGAGGAATCAAGCAGCTAGTCCAAATATGGGGCTGGGAGAGTGAACACAGGAGCCTGAGCTCCACAAATCACTGGAAACAGCAGATACCCACCCGATGGAGTAATGGTTAAATAAATTGTGACATGTATAACCTATGTCAAATTGCTGGCCTTCTCTGTGGGGGAGGGTGAGAATATTTGGAACTCAAAATTTGGAAAAAAAATTATGTTAAAATATTTTTACATGTAATTGGGGAAAAATAAAATCTTAAAATTAAATAAAAAACAAAGGAGGAAGGAAAAAGAACATAGGACAAAATAATATTAAGAATTTTGACTTTCAAGGAAAATGATAAATGCTGGAGGGGATGTGGAAAAATTGGGATACTGATGTACTGTTGGTGGAGTTGTGAATTGATCCAAACATTCTGGAGAGTATTTTGGAATCATGTCCAAAGGGCTATAAAACTGTGCATACCCAGCAATACCACTACTAGTTCTATATCCTAAGGAGATTTAAAAAAAGGAAAAGGACATCTATAGCAGCTCTTTTTGTAGTGGCAAAGAATAGGAAATTGAGGGGATGCTCATCAATTCAGGAATGGCTGAACAAGTTGTGGTATATTACTTTGATAGGATACCATAAGAAATGATGAGCAGAAATAGCAAACCACTCCAGTATCTTTGCCAAGAAAATCCCAAGGACAGCTATGGTCCACTGAGTCATGAAGAGTCAGACACAGCTGAATGACTGAACAACAAATTCTGAAATGGGGTCCTTAGGTTTCACCCGACTGCCAAGGGCGTTCATGGTACAAAAATGATTAAGAACCCTTGGTATGAAGAATGAGTCGGGTGTGCCTAGGTTTACAATGATCATTGGCTCTTCCCTCTTCCCTTAGACATGCTTATGCCTTAGTCACATACTGGCTGTGTGACCATGGGCCAATCACTTAACTTCTCACTGCTTCAGGAAATTATCTGTGATGGGGGTTCAGTCTGATAGACCCCTTCTCAGAATAATTTTCTTAAATGCAAAAAATAAAATACATAGGATTACAAAGGAGATCAATTATATTGAAATATAGTTATCAGAATTTTTTAAATTTGTGATGTAATGTATGTATTTTATTAACACATTAAATTACAAGATACTACATTTAAAATGTAAGCAAGTTAGAGTTAAATTTCATTTTATTTTTCTTCCATTCCAAAACAGAATTTAGTGTATGTAGTATTTTCTACCAAAGTTCAATATTAATTATTAAGGTCTCTTGCCCCCTCAAGTAACTGAGAAGTATTTAATGATGCAATTTTCATTGCACTTAAAGATCAGATTTCTTGGTCTGAGAATCAAAGCAAGATGAAGTGACAAAAAAGCACAAAGTTGGATTCCCACTTGAACCTAACGATGTTCAAACATCAACATTTTTTTTCAGACTCTTTCCCAGGGAAGTCAATGGCTAACTAGACCCAATGAGCACTGATTGGTGACTTTCCCACCATTTAATATACACAAAATCTAAAATCCCAAGTTACACACCATTTCAACAGCAGTAACAGACTACATATTAGTTTTCTTGGAACATTTATTATCAGGAGAGAGAAGAAAACATTTTTTATGTTTTGCAGTTACATTCATCTTCCAAAGAACACTGTCACTAAAGATTTTTATATAAAATGTCTACCACATTTGTCAGAACTGCAGCAATTTTGTGTGTCATTTCTGGTTTGTTGCAGGGGTTTGAACTTTTGGCAGGTTGGCATACAAGCAGCTGTTGTAGTAAGATTCCCAAACCCAAGAAATAAATGAGTAGGATAACTTTTTTTTTTAATTGACAAAATCGGTAAACAATCAAGGACTAGGGAGATATTACAAAAAGAAAACTTAACTTTCTTCTTTAAAAGTTCAATTAAAAATTACTTCTTCCTAGTCACAGCTCCTTCCTAAAAGCAAGGATTTTCCCCTCCCTACCCACTCCTCAGTACTCTTCAAAGATGGAGAGCCACATGCTACCCTGGGTTCCAAACAGCCCTTCACAAAGATCAGATCACAAACACACCCCGAAAATGAAGTGCATTACATGGCATATTTGATGTGATTTGCACATGAGCGACTGAGATTGCTTCTTTGTCCCAGTTAAGGCAAACAAATAAATTTTATTTTTAAAAAATATATCAGTGTGAAGACCACTGAAGGGGGTGTGTGTGTGTGTGTGTGTGTGTGTGTGTGTGTGTGTGTGTATATGTGGGGGGGTGTGTATGTGTGGCGGGGCGTGGGTGTGTGTGTGTAGGGGGTATAGATTTGAGTTGCTTAGCTTTAGTAAGAACATTAAACTGTGGGGTGTTCTTTGGCACAAGGCAACAGGCATGCCACGTTGAACAATCAATTTTCAAATGTAATGTGATATGAAAATATCTCTGATTTCTATTGATGACAGTCACAGGCAGTGATAAAAGCAACTGTTTCTGTTCTGGCCAGAAACTCTGAGGGTCTTTCCCTCCCTGATTGATTCTTTTATGAAGGCAAACTAGGCTATCTTTTACCTCAGTTCTTACCTAGCCTTAACCACTGAATGGGTGTTGCCTCAGAAAAACTGAGACCTGGGAAAGACCTTCACAAAGGGCAAGGTCTCACATTGCATCCCGGGCCACGGCCAGTCGTCCTGACCTATGTCTTGTCACTGGACTCTGATGACTCTGGAGGAGAGAGTGAGGCTGATGATCTTGCACAGCTCTACCTCTCTTAAATCCAATTCACTTGCAAGTCAAAACATCACTCTCATGCTTGGTCCACTTTGATAATGAAGGACAAACAACAATGTCACAAGCAGTGCTAATACTACTGTGGTTTGTCACCTATGTGCGTAATTGAAGGCAAGGCTCAATTTCAGTTAGAGGTTAGCGAAAATAAACCTGTAATTTTTTTCCCATCCAAGCTCTCAGATCCTCTGAAATCTATGCAGAGACCTGTTGGGGATCTGTAGAGTGCAGTTTAAGAAGCCCTGCTCTAAGACATAGTCATGCCCAAGTTAGCGACCATTGCCATGAGTTCCTCACAGTGATGAAATCACGGGTCAGGAAGAAAAAAATGATCAGCAGCACCTGTCAGTTTCAGTCAGCCCTGCAGATTCTGCCTTCACAGGATAGGATGGACTGAACCCAGAAATAAACCCTTCTGGAGAGCAGGCACACAGGGGCTGCCCCAGCTTCAAATTTCACAGAAGCATTCTCCAAATCCAACTGTCAGCAAGCAATTTTCTCATCTGAATTCTAGAACAGACTTAAGTCGAGGTCCTTGATGCCCAAAAGAAAAAATAAAACAATCCCCAAAGGAAAATTTTTAAAGTTTTCATTCCACAGAACATTCAGCATGCCAGACATGCCACAGACTACATGATTTAGTATCTCCATTAAAGTCCCTGTGACCTTACATCATAGGCTAAGACAGAAATCTGTTGCTATGACAAACATTCCTTCAAAAAAAAAAAACAAAATCATGGCAAGCGATGGTCAGGATGATGCCAAGAGGAGAGAACACACACACACACACACACACACACACACACACATCTACTTCTACACGTTTACATAAATACTATATATATCCAGTGTAAAAAAAAATGCCAATTAACTTGCCTCAGAAAACTATTGGGTAGTTTTAATGAGTTAAATAACAGTAATAGAGTTTATAAAACACAAAGTTTGCGATGCATTTTACAAATATCATCTCATTTTATTGTCACAACAATCTTGGGAAGTAGGCACTATTATTATCCCTATATTTTAGATAAGGAAACAGAGGCAGAGAGTGACTTGCCCACAGCCTCACAGCTACTAAGAGGCAGCATTTTTTTTTTTTTTTTGGTGAGGCAGTTGGGGTTAAGTGACTTGCCCAGAGTCACACAGCTAGTAAGTGTTTTGTGTCTGAGGCTGGATTTGAACTCAGGTCCTCCTGACTCCAAGGCCAGTGCTCTATCCACTGCACCACCTAGCTGCCCCAAGAGGCAGCCCTTGAACTTAGGTCTTCTTGACCCAGAGTCCAAGACTCTATGGCATCACCTCACCACCTCTATGAAGGTCACACAGCCAGTAAGCAACTGAAGAGGAATTCGAACCCAGGTCATAGTCATTCCACTGTTGTCTATGGAATATGTTCTCTGCAGTAACAGTTACTTTTCACATTGCCAAGTAAAAGCTGGATAACAACCTCTAATGGGTGTGCTAATGACCAAGTTTATTTAATGATTTTCAAAACAAAGAAGGAGAGCGAAAAAGGGGGAGAAGAAAAATCCTTCTGCTTCCTATGCCTTCCTTCTGGCTAACTCTCCCTCTTGAGTCTCTAATTCACCTTTGGCTTCAGCTGCAGCTGCAGCGGCTTCAGGGAGGCCTTGTGACTGCTCTCCGGGGGGCTTTTGTCTTCCTTCTTGGCAAACAGTCTTGAGAGGAACTAGAGATCCCCCCCAAAAAAGAAGCAAGCAGAGGCATTAGACTGATGCAGCACTTCCCCAATACACCCAGACAGACACACACACACATGTACATGTCCAGACACACACA